ACTGAGCTGCATCCCCAGTCCTTTAACTTTTTTTTTTTTTTTTTTTGGCATCTGGCTAAATTGCTAAAGAGTCTTTCTAAGTTGCTGAGACTAGCCTCAAACTTCTGATCTTTATGCCTCAAGCCCCTGAGTCACTGGGATTACAGTTGTGTGCCCTGGCTCATTTTATCTTTTAATATATGAGATAGAGAAAATGTTCAGTTCAAATTGTCTGTTTAGCAGGGGGTTTATCACTTTGCTAAGCTTGTACAAGTTGAGTAATCATTATGTAAAATGCTTAGAAACACAGTTTTTTAGAGTTGGGTGTTTTCAGATTTTATAATAGTTGCATATACATAATAAGGTATCTTAGAGATGGGGCCCAAATGTGATTTATATACATTTTGTATACATAGCCTGAAAATAATTTTATAAATTACTTTCAGTGTGCCTGCATTTTGCCCATGATCTGTTACATGAGGTCAAGTGTGGATTTTCCATTGATGGTGTCATGTCAGCTTCCAAAGTTTTAGACTTCGTTATTGGTTTTGGTGCTAGGGTAAATTTTAGACTTTGGTGAATTTCAGATTTCTGACTTTGAGAAATTTTGTTTTGTTCCTGACTATTTCCAGCCATCACAATGAATAGTCTAAATCTAAATTTCCATTTCTTCACACATCTGCCCTCTAAAATCAATATTCTGCTGATACTGCTTCTATTCAGATCACAAATGACCTCCTTTTTGCTGAACTCCAGTGGTTCCATTTGTTTTTATTTTTCCCCAGTGGTTACATTTGTTATCAGAAATGGTTTTTTTATTTGGCTAGACACTGTCAGCCATTCATTCTTATCTTCCTGAAACCCTCTCCTTGCTTGTTGTGGCACCAGTCTTTTATTTCCTTCCTGCCTCTGTCAGAGATCCTTCTCAATCGTCTTTCTAGATGACTCTTCCTTTGACTATTTTTACTTTGTTGGCATTCTCCAGTCTTTATGCCTGATGCAGTCCAATTTCAACATGTAAATCTCAGCTCAGACCTCTTTTCTTAGCTTCTGGCCTGTGTCCAGCCCTTTCCTGGACATGTTTACAGAATTATGGATGCCTCCCTTCCCAATATCTAGTCATTTCCATGGCCATAATGATGTAACATCAGTTTAACAGTTTGGCAAACAACCACTTCCTTCATCTCCCCACTGTTATTGCTAGTACCACCTTAAAATTTTGTCACAGTCCCTGTCTTGGACTCCATGCCTGCAGGTGCCCCACTGTGGCTCATCATTCTTTGAGGGGTGAGGAGTTTATAAGACCAAGGAGATACACCTGCCCTGTTCACCTCCTTCTAGTCTGTGCTAGCTGTTACACAAGACCGCACAAATTCCTGCATCAGGCTGCTTTCCCAGGCCAATTTTTCCAAGGGTAGACTGAATCCTTAGTGTGTATGTCTAGGCCCTAGGGGTAGCTAAGGGACAGATGTTTGAAAGGGAACAGCTGGACCTTAGGTAAAGCCTGGACCCGTAGCTACATACACATATATGCAAAGCCCTTGATGTTATAGACCAGAGCTAGATGTTGAAGAGAAGGACATGCAGGGACCTGCATTTGTATACTTTGTCTAGGCCCCACAAGCATTAGGGCAGGCCTAATTATTGCCTTATTTTTCCTTATGTTCCTAATACAGGCTGATAGGTCATTCTTCACCTATTTTTAGGGATTCTTTTTAAAAAATATTTATTTATTTTTTTAGTTGAAGTTGGACACAATATCTTTATTTTGTTTATTTAGGTGGTGCTTAGGATCGAACCCAGGGCCTCGCATATGCTAGGCGCTCTACTGCTGAGCCACAATTCCAGCCCCTACTTTTAGGGATTCTTAAAAGCAAGGACTTTGGCTTTTAATTTTTCTATATCCACATACCTATCACAGTACCTATCCAACACAAACACTTAATACGTGTTTGTTGAGAGAGTAAGTAATAAATGCAGTTTATATTAAACATTTTATTATTTCATTTCCTTTGTTGTCATTTTAAAGAGTTTTTGGTAGCCAGACACAATAGTACAAACCTGTAATATCAGCTGTTCAGGAGGCTAAAGCAGGAGGATCAGATCAAGCCAGGCCAGACTATGAAAATTCATGAGACTCTATCACAAAAGGGCTGGGATGTAGCTCAGAGGTGTAGAGCATTTTCCTAGCATGTACAAGTTCCAGGGGTTGTAAAAAGAAAGTTTATAGTAATATCTAATATCTAGATGACTTTATTTTATTATGCCTTAAGGTCAGCATTTTTCTAGAAATACATCTCTAAATTTGCATTGCCATTAAATGGAAAATGTAGATTTTATATATTAAACAATTTTATTTTAAATATATTTTTACAAATTCATTTTATAAAATGGGATAATTTAATGGCAAAGAATAAAAAATAGTATCTGACATACATGCAAATCTTGATATTACAAATGAATGTACCATTACAGTTACTAGAACAACAGTGCTTATGGTCAGTTATATCCGTAACTGCAAAGTCCTAAGATGCTCTGTGGTATAGGTCTAAGGAATAGGACTATGTTTTGGAAAACTTCAAGATGCTGGGAAGAGTGGAACTCAATTTACCTACCAGGTTTTTCATTAATTTAGTGGGTAACCCCAAGATCCCATAGACCCCTGTTTAACTGAGCTCATTTATGAAGAGTACATGTGTATATGATTACTTTTAATGCAAAATGCATATAAATTATTTAATAATAGAAACTTTTAAACACCAAGTCAACTTGTTTTACTTCCTGACATGACCTTTTACTCTGCTAATTCATGTGCTCTAGGTTAGCTTCCTGAGTTTGTAGTTCATAGACCTCTAAACTTAAAACCCATCTGCAATGTCACTAGTGCTGTACCTTCTGTGGACATTACTTTAGCATATGTGTCATGTTGCGAGATATTCTGATCTGAGAATGAGTAAAATGGTCTTGCTTGGCCCTTAAGTTGTCTCACACGCACACATTCTATGACTTGTGTTTGATGCTTAGTCTATTCTTGATTGTACTGAGAGGTAACAAAGAGTTAAGTCTGCACAGGAATTGGAGTTTTATACCTTAACTCTGGTAATTCATACTATCTTTTTTGTTGTTGTTGTTATTTTTTAATAAGTTATACTCTATATATGAATACCTTTAATTTGTTTATTTTTATGTTTATTTTTTTTGTGGTGGTGAGGATTGAACTCAGTGCCTCACATGTGCTAGGCGAGCACTCTACCAATGAGTCACAACCTCAGCCCCTGTTTGTTGTTTTTGATAGATTATTTCTTCCATGTTCTCCTTTACCCTTGACAGTTTTAGGCATAATAAACTTTACTCATTCTAACCCTTCTTCTAGATGAGTCTTTCAAGAACACCCCATTAAAAGTATTAAATAGAAAAGAAGTTGCCTTTATGAGCCATCATTCTCTGATTGTCGTGCCATCATAAGTCATGGCTAGGACCACTTAAGACTTTGCTTCAAGAATATTTCAAATGTTGATTTAATTGTGGTGGGGCATCATAAGATCCACTGGCTTTTGGAGGAACTATTTGATTTCAGAAACAGTTTAAAATCATTTCTATCATCCAGAAAATTGTTCTCCTTACATGAGAAGATTTTAAAATCTCTCCCATTTTCTTAATAACATTAATGATACTTGGAGATATTTTACTTTCACATAATTTTCCAACATACATGATGATATGGGCAGATCTAAGTGACATATTTTACTTCTCACTCATTTCTGCATTAGGGCCCTACATCTCCCCATATGTTTGTTATTTTTTTCTGCATTCATAAAATGTTTTTTCTAAGTGACTTAAGCTGCCAATTAAAAATATATATATGAGACTCACACGCTGCTTAAAAAGCTGAACAATAGCTGGGCATGGTGACAGTAATATCAGGTACTATAATTCCAGTGTTATAAAAATGTCAGCTATATTGTCCCTTCCCTTTCCTCTAACTCCATGGCAAAAGAGTTTGACCATATTCCATTTCTTGTCTAGACTTTTTTTTTTTTGAAATTTAAGACTTCTTTTTTCCTTCAAGTCTTCTCTTGAATGTGAAGGTATATGTTACGGGTAGCAGGAGCAATGCGGCAAAGGGTTTGGTCAGCAAGGCATAAGAGTGTTAAGTAGAATATTGAGAAAAGATGAACAAAAGAACAAATGGAAGGAAAACAAGAAACTACTCGTCATTAAAATCAGCATCAGAGTATTAGGACTGAAAGTATGTATGCATATGTTCAATCCATCGCGAAGATTTGTCTTACCAGTGCTCAGGAAATACATGTGGAATTTAAATTCATCTCTTGATTTTATGGGAGAAGACATGGAATTCCACCAAAGTTATATATTTCCTAGGGTCATTTACCTAGCTGGTTATAGAACTCAGCTGGAACCCAGGTCCTCTGATCCTCAACCAATTTCTTTGCTATAAGAAGATACTACATTGACTTTTTTCCCCCAGTACCTAGAAAAGGGTAGGTATGAAGTGTTGAGCTCAGTTGTGTCCAGTGGCACTTATTATGTCTATTAACAAGTGGCATGCTAGTAGATAGAGCACATATTTGGAGTCCGACCTAGGTCTAAATTTTAGTTGTGTCTGTTGGTACTTGGGCAGGTTTCTTAATCTTTCCAAGCGTAAGCTTTTATGTTTCAATAAACAGGGAAAACAATTGACATTATTGTTTTCACATTATTGTTATGACAATCAAATGAGCCAAGGCAATATTAAGTATTTAGTTTTGTATGAGGCATAAATCAGGGGATTCAGTAAATATTTGTGAAATAAATAAATGGCAACTATTACTGTATTTGATCTCCCTCATAGAGGATTAACAAAACTTTTAAGTAATGTCAGCTTACCTTTTAGTGCATTTTATGCTTTACAGAGATCTGTTTTTATTGCCGTAGTTAAACTGCTATTTGGCTAATTTATTCCTGTCTTGGTAAATGCCTGCTTCATATACCTCACATTATCTTAATTTTTTAAATTCCAGATTAATCCATGGAGGACAGATGTTAAATGGATTGGCAGGTCCAACTGTTATGAATGCTGCACCATTCCTCTCCACAACCTGGTTTTCTGCAGACGAACGGGCCACTGCCACAGCGATTGCTTCCATGCTCAGTTATCTGGGTGGGGCATGTGCATTTTTAGTTGGACCTCTTGTTGTTCCAGCTCCCAATGGGACATCACCACTTCTTACTGCAGAGAACAGCAGGGCTCATATTAAAAACAGCATTGAGACTGTGTTGTATGCAGGTAATTTGAAGTCTTTTCCTGTTTATACTTTAGTCTACTCTTTGTATACCAGATCACCTCAAATGAAATAGTTAGAAGGACTGACATAGCTAATGCACATAATGTGCTTTCATTGTTTTATAATATGGAGATGCCTATTTAAAACCTACAGCCTTCCTGGGAAGTTACTAAATTTAACATATATTCTTGATACACAGTAGGTCTTTCTTTTTTTTTTTTTTTAATTGGTTGTTCAAAACATTACAAAGCTCTTGACATATCATATTTCATACATTTGATTCAAGTGGGTTATGAACTCCCATTTTTACCCCATATACAGATTGCAGAATCACATCAGTTACACATCCACGTTTTTACATATTGCCATACTAGTGACTGTTGTATTCTGCTATCTTTCCTATCCTCTACTATCCCCCATCCTCTCCCCTCCCATCTTCTCTCTCTACCCCATCTACACAGTAGGTCTTTCTTAATTTTACTCTTTACATTTGTTTACAGTGAAGTATTACATAACACATATTCTAATGTCTTTTCTAAATATCATACCCAGTTTGTAAAACTACACATCATGGTTGACTACAGACATTTGTCAAACATAATTGGTAGCTTTTAAACCCATTTTCTTCCTTGCAATTTTCCCATTATTTGTCCTGTTCTCAATCATATTAAGCTTGATTACCTGTAGTTTGTTTGCTTGTTTCTTTTCAAACAGATGTCACTGTGTTACCCAGGCTGGACTCAAGCCATCTTCCCACTTCAGCTTCCTGAGATCTAGAACCTAGGCATGCATTGCCATGACCTAGATTATTCTTTTTTCCTCCCTCCCTCCCTTCCCCCCCCTCGTCTATTAATTAGGGATATTGACTTTTCCAAAACATTCTCTTTGAGAGAAGGGAAATTGCATGGAAATGGAAGGAGACCCTCAGGGTTATACAAAAGTACATACAAGAGGAAGTGAGGGGAAAGGGAAAAATAATACAAGGGGGAGAAATGAATGACAGTAGAGGGGGTAGAGAGAGAAGAGGGGAGGGGAGGGGAGGGGAGGGGAGATAGTAGAGGATAGGAAAGGCAGCAGAACACAACAGACACTAGTATGGCAATATGTAAATCAATGGTTGTATAACTGATGTGATTCTGCAATCTGTATATGGGGTAAAAATGGGAGTTCATAACCCACTTGAATCAAAGTGTGAAATATGATATATCAAGAAATATGTAATGTTTTGAACAACCAACAATAAAAAATTAAAAAAAAAAAAAACATTCTCTTTGGACCTTTTTGTTTCTGAAGTTGAGTCCCAGGCCACCCTGTTACAGTACCCTATAGATCTTCTTAAATCTGTTCTGTTTTCTAGCTGACTCTTTTTTTTTTTTTTGCATAAAGAATACTTCTTATAAGTGTTTGCTATATAACAATCACTGTGCTAAGCAGTAGGAATTGTTGAGATCAATGAGGAGACAATTATAATACAAATAAAGCTATACAGAGGTAGGAAGACTAATTTGCCTGGGTTTGGAGAGAAGTTGAAGGGTCAAAGAAGGTTTCATCAAGATGTAATAATTCAGAAAAATTAGGAATTTTATAGGAGTTCACTGACCAGTCAGGTAGGCCAGGATATTCCATACAGGGAGAATGGCACTGCAAAGTCAGAGAAGGTATGAGAGAGCTCAGCATGTCCAGGACACTACACATAATTTAATATAGCTGTAGTGGTATGAATTTGTGTTTGAGTATTGGTAGCAAGTGGTAGGAAATGAAGCTGGAAAGATAAGGGAGCAGATTATGCCAAGTTTTGTCTTAACTTGTATATGCACTTATGAATTTAACAAACATTTTGAGCTCCTGTGTATTTGTCATTGTGCTAGGCACTGAGGTGGATATGGTTCCTGGTCCAATAGACCTTTTGGTATCCTAAAGAATACAGAGAGGCAAATAAACAGTTGTAGAACAGAATGCTGGGCATTAATTGCTCTAACAGCTTGAAGGAGATGTGCCTAGCTCACATTTTGGTTGTGTAGTAGTTTCCTAGATATGCAGCATCCAAGGTTTCCAAGGGATGAGACTTAACCAAATAGAGTGAGCAGAAGGAAGAATAAAATAGAACCATGAAGAAGAAGCCCAATGAAGTGACAGAACCTGGTACATTCAAGCTACTGAAAGCCCAGAATGGCTTAGATCTGGTGAAAATAGTGATAGGAGAAACTAGAGAGGGAAGCCAGGACATGAGACCTCAAGCAGGGCTAAAGAAAAGGTTTGAAGTTCACCATGGTGTAGGCAAAGATCACACTCTGAAGTTTACATCAGATTTACATTTCAAAATCTGGTATTTCTTCTAAAGAATAAAACTAAAACAGACTCCTCTCCTTTTGAAGAAAAAAACTGAAAATGTAAAACTACATACATACACAAGGAAACCTAAAAACAGAAAACATAAGTTTTAAAACTTCATATTAGTAATATCATTCATTTCATTGAAAACCTAAGCCATCATTGTATATTTTAAATATCTGAGTTTTAGACACCATTAGGCGTGTATTAATGCCCTGCATCTACCTGGTTCAGGGCTCCCATGCAGTCAGGAGGAAGCCCTTGCTCACAGCTTCCAGTCACTTCCTCAGTGCTTTCACACCTTTTCAGTCTCCCAGTCTGCCTTTCTGAAATATTGCCCCATGAATCTTCAGTACATTAAAAATACTTTTGCTAGAATTGCTGCCTCAAATAGTTAGAGACTCTTAAATTATTCCAGGTAAGAGCACATAAGAAAATTAAGCTACAGACCAAGATCTCTTAGGAATATAGACACAAAGGTCTTAGACAAAATACTAGCAAACCAAATCCATCAGCTTATAAAAAGTATGGTACACCATGATCAAGTAGGATTCATCCCAGAAATACAAGATTGACTTAACATTCAAAACTCAATTAATGTTATATATCATATCAATAGAATACAGGGGAAAATGTGCTTATATGAAGAGATAAAGAAAAAGGTTTACAGATCCAGTGTCCTTTCAAAATAAAACAATCAACAACTAGGAATAGACAGGCATTCCCTCAACCTAATAAAAAAATATACAAAAAACACAAATGCAGTATATTTAATTGTCAGATACTGAAAGCAGTCCTCCTAAGATCAGAAACAGGACAAGCATGTCCACTCTTAGCACCTCTGTTTATCATTGTGTTGGAGGTTCTACCCAATATCACTGGGCAAGAAAAAAGAAATTTAAATGTAACCAGATTGGAAAGAAAGGAGGGGGAAAAAAAGGAAATTTTTGAAAAATACATGATTTTAAATATAGAAAAATTATCTGGAATTCACTACCAAACTGTTAGATCTAAAAGATGAGTTCAGCAAGATTTTACAAGATTAATGTGTAAAATCGATTGATTGTACATTAATAATGATCAACCCAAACATGAAATTAGGAAAATAATTTATAGTACTATCAATAATATAATATATTTAGGAGTAAATTTAACAAATCTATAGCATACTCTAAAGACTACAAAACAGCATTGAAAGAAATTAAAGGCCTTCAAAATAGAAAGTCATCCCATGTTCATGGGTTGGAAAGCTTAATACTGAAAAAATATTCTCAAATTTATCTACAAACTTGGTGCAGCCCTATTAAAATCCCAGCTGCCTTTGTTGCAGAAATTGATGGAAATGCAAGGGACCAGGAATAGCCAAAACAATCTTGAAAAAGGTGTTGGACAACTCATGTTTCTCAATTTTAAAACTGAGACAGGAGGATCGAGAATTCAAAGCCAGCCTCAGCAACTTAATGATCCCCCAAGCAACTCAACAAGACCGTGTCTCTAAAAAAAATTTTTTTAAAGTCTAGGGACACTGGGGAAGAATAGTGTTACCTTAGATTAAGTAGAGAGAAGTGATGGGAGCGTTAAGGAGGGGATGCGGGGATAGGAAAGACTATAGAATGAAACAAACATTATTACTGTATGTACATGTGTGACTACATGACCAGTGATTCTGCAACATGTACACTCAGAAAAATGAGAAATTTTGTCCCATCTATGACTGATAAATTAAAGTGCATAAATGCATTCTGTCATGTATAACTAATTAAAACAAATTTAAAAATTTAAAAAATAAAAATCTTATGATTCATCTTTCCATTTAAAAATAAGAAAGGGCTGGGAATGTAGCTGAGTGGTTAAGTGCCCCTGGGTTCAATCCCTGGTACAAAAATAAATAAGTAAATAAATACCTAATATAATTACAAAACTAATCAAGACGGCATGGTATTGACAATTATAGAAAGTATAGTACTGATTCATGCTCCAACATGGATGACCCTTGAAAACATGCTGATTGAAAGATGCCACTCACAAAAGACTGTATATTCTATGATTCCACTTAAATGAAATATCCTAATACTCAAATCCGTAAAGACTAAAAATAGGTTAGTGGTTGTCTAGAGCTGGGAGATTTGGAATTAATGGGTTATAGGGTTTCTTTAGGAGATGATCAAAAAATTCTAAAATTGAGCTGGGCACAGTGGCACGTGCCCAGCTCTTTTGCTGAGGCTGGCTGTAAACTCACAATTCTCCTGCAACAGCCTCCGGAGCCACTGGGAGGTGCTAAGCAACTCAGTGAGACCTTGTCTCTAAGTAAAATACAAAATAGGAGCTGGGGATGTGGCTCAGTAGTCAGGTGCCCCTGAGTTCAATCCCAGATACCTGCCCTCCCCCAAATTCTAAAATTATAATGGTTGCACTGTTATATAAATGTACTAAAAACCATTGGATTGTGTACTTTAATGTGTGAATCGTATTTTATATGAATAATATCCCATGAAATTTTTTACAAAAATGTCTATAGAAAGATGGTCATTGAGGCTAGGATTGTGGCTCAGTGGTGGAGTGCTTGCCTCACATGTGTGAGGCACTGGGTTCGATCCTCAGCACCATATTAAAAAAATAAATAAAATGAAGATATTGTGTCCATATACAACTAAAAACATATTTAAAAAAAAGAAAGATGGTCAAAGAATATGAATGAGGATATCACAGAACAAATACAAATAACTAATAAGTATATTCAAGATGCTCAGTGTTATTAATAATTAAAAGAAAGAACTGTAAGGTAAAATAACTCATTAACTTCTTGTTGCTCTTTAGATTGACAAAGAATAAAGAGATTGAGAATTCCAAAAAAATTTGGTAACAATCTTGTCTTTCAGAATTAGGAATCTATAAATTTACAGTTGAATTAACTAAAATGATATATGGTTAAGTGTCTTATAGAATTATTGTCCCTTTTCCTAAGAAAATATCCCTAGAAATAGAATTATCCAACAGAAAAGACCCCTAGAAACTACTAAGTCAACTCCCTTTACTGGGATTCACTTTTGTAACAAGTCAGTTAATGGCACAGATGAGTCTGTCATCTAAGTTTCCAGTATTTTTATTAATGTTGTGCTTTTCTACTTAAAATTGGGCACAGTTAACAAAATCTGTGCTGTGGAGGGAAGAATTGAGAGTCCTAAGAACTTTCCCTTTTGTAATAAGGCCAAACTAGTGTGGTTTGACTGTTCATTTTACTTCTGATTAATATTTAGCTAGACTTATTAAAATACTCATTAAATATTTTTATTTAGCTAGGTTTGTGCTTTAATTTGCTGCCTCTTGGTTTCTTTTTTTCTTTTAATATTTTTAGGTGTAGATGGACACATACCTTTATTTTGTTTATTTAATTTTTTTATGTGGTGCTGGGGATCGAACCCAGTGCCTCATGCATAGAGCAAGCGCTCTATCACTGAGCCACAACCCCAGCCCCTGGTTTCTTAATTTTGGATGCTTTCTTGTCTTGTTAAATTTTCCTGTGCTGTCTATAAATTGGATCTGTCCTACATATGGATCAGAAATCCTATCCTTGATCAAACAAATGTTCTATTCTATTTTTGCCAAATTTCTTTCATATTCTTTCTTTCTGAGTACCCTACTTATAGACAACCATCTTAGACCTCTTTTATAGTAAGGTATTGTTGGTTTGAATGAGATTTCTCTATAGAGTAACAGTTGTGTACTCCCTTGATTTTTTTTGACTATGTGGTGTGTCATTGGACTACCATGCTTCTTTATTTATAGCCTGACTTCCTACCTGTGACCTGCTGAACTTTGTATCTGTACATATCTGTCTTTCCCACTAGACTGAGCTATCTTGGCTAGGTGCTATGTTTTGCCTATCTTTATATATCTAGGGCTTATTTGATGCTCAGTAAATATTCGTTAAATAAATAAATACTTGAAGTATTCAACTTTTTGTGTCACTGGTTAACACTTTACTAATTTTTTTTCTTTCAGAATTTGGAGTTGTCTGCTTAATATTCTCTGCAACACTAGCTTATTTCCCACCCCGGCCTCCTCTTCCTCCCAGTGTTGCTGCAGCTAGCCAGAGGCTAAGTTATCGACGCAGCTTTTGTAGGCTATTAAGGTAAATATACTTGTGGTCATTGGGTGGTAGTGACTGGCACTTCAATATAATTCCATTTTTTTAAAAGATAATTTGAGATACTAATTTTCAGCAACCATTAATCAGTTTATAATTAATAAAATACTCATTAAATATTTTTATTTCCTATGAGAAATCTATCTTGAAAAATCACCCAAAACAAAACCTCTCTAATTTTTGCCTATCTACATACTACCTATAGTGTTATTTATTTACTATGTTTAAAGTCAAATATTTTTTAAGTAATTTTCTTTTATAAAGAAACTTATACTGGGGGCTGGGGATATAGCTCACTTGGTAGAGTGCTTGCCTTGCATGGCAAGGCCCTGGGTTCATCCCCTGCACCACCAAAAAAAAAAGAATCTTATATAGTAGTGTCCATGAAAGTATGGGTTTATGTATTTATTATGTTTTTCTAATATGGAGATTATTTTATTCATTATGTATTTGTCAATGCAAAATGAATAAAATAAACAATATTATTCCTGTATCACCTAAAGTCTTCTCATGTGCCACCAGTAGGATCACAATTTAAGAAACTTATTAATGTATTTTTTTTATTTTATTGGCAAAACTTAAATATAGTTAGGTAAATTCTACCCTTGAAAGCTCAAATGATTTGATTCTTAAAAGCTAAATTTGATTCTTGGGAGGCACAGAACATCACCATTGATTACGATTTGTAGTTGCACTTTTGAACTTACTTTCAGAACACCAGCAGCTCTCTCTGGTTGGTTCTTTCTTTTCTTGCCTTCTTTCCCCTCAGATGGTAAATTCCTCTATAATACTACTATCCAATATAGGAATATAATTTGATTCACAATGAGAATATGAATATAATTTGAATCACATATGTAATCTTTAATTTTCTAATAGTCTCTTTTAAAAAGATAAATAGAAACAAATAAAGACAATGTGTAGCATATTATACTCAACCCACTATATCTAAAACATCATTTTAACATGTAATCAATATTAATGATTGAGATATTTGACATTCTCATATTCACATAAAACTCTAATATCCAGTGTGTATTTTCCCTTACAGCACATTTCAATTTGGACACTAAATTTTTATTGGAGCATTTGATATATATTCGGCTGTCATTAAATTTACAATTGAAAAGTATTCATTGAGCAGATTTTCCCATTTTTCACTAAATTGAAAATAAGTAATTACCTTTTAAAATTTGAATTAACACAACTTTGATATTACAGAATAGTCTCAAATTCTATAGACAGTTGTTCAGAGCTTAATTGAAGATCTGTCACTTCTGTAGGATATAGTTTTTTCCTCACAATTTTTAACAAAATTTCCATAGCTTAAATAACATTTTCATCTCTCCATTGAGAAATGGTTTTCTTTTTCTATGAAAATCCAAACCATTTTATAGCTTACCAAAATTATAAGTTCAAATCTGTTAAAAATTTGTTTTAGAATGTTTGTTGGACATTTAATTCTGATTTCCAGCAACTAATTTTCTTAATACTTTTTTGACTGTTGAAAAGAAACTTCTTATGCATTTGCTGAGAATGTCTCTCTTTTTGTGTTTTTATTAGTGCATTATAATTATACATAATACTAGGGCTCATTGTGACATATTAATATGTAACATAATTTGCTCCATATCCTTCCCTCGTACCTCTCCCTTTTCCTGCCCTCTTCCCTCCCCCAACCCTCTTTCTCTACACTACTAGTCTACCTTCCATTTATTTTTTAAATTGATGCATTATAATTATACATAAAAAATAGGGTTCATTGTGCTATATTCATACATGCATGCACATAGCATAATTTGGTTGTTCTATATCTAACATAGATAGATATAGATACACACATGCACACACATATAAAATGGCTCTTAATATTGTCCACTTAAATAACTTAAATATTTTTTTCTTACATCAGACATTTCATTTTGTTCTGCTTCAGCAAATTGCAGTTGTCATTCATGGTGAAATTTTCAACATGCCTTTTTCCATTCTAGTCTCATATTTTCTTTCTACTTGAAATATTCAATTGAACAAATTATAAAGTTATATTAGTGTGTATGAAAAAATAATTGGAACTGAATCAGTTCATTGACACCAGGGAGATCAGTGGCATGTACTAACACTAGAAAACTCAGGTGCCAATGTGCTCACTCTGCCTTATGTGTTGCAGCTGGTAAAGTGAAACATAGTTCTACTACAAAATGCAGTTTGGGGGGCTGGTAATGTAGCTCAGTGGCAGAGCACTTGCCTAGTGTTACAAAGCCCTAAATTTGCCAACACCACAAAAAATAAAATAAATTTTTAAAAAAGATTTTTTAGTGGAAAAATACTTTTAATGCCTGTTTTAAAACTTAGACTTAAATTAGGCAAGATGAGATCAAATTTAAAAATTTCTCCTAAGTTACACTAGCCACATTTCATTATTTTTCAAACTTTGGTTCACAGCTAAATGATTTGGTGAGTTGACCATTACTTTTTTTAAACAAAGTGGAGTGGAACACAAGAAATATTTTTTTTCTTTTTAGAGGTATCAGGGATTAAGCTCAGGGGCACTTGACCACTGAGCCATGTCCCCAGCCCTTTTTTGTATTTGATTTATAAACATGGTCTCACTGAGCTGCTTAGTGCCTTGTTTTTACTGAGGCTGGCTTTGAACTCTCCATCCTCCTGCCTCAGCCTCCTGAGTTGCTGGGATTACAGGTGTACACTACCTCGCCCAGCACAGAATAGAAAATATTGTATCACATGTAGTAAGATTACTTTTTGTGAGACTTTTGTTTCTGTATATAATGGGTAAGTCACAAAGTAAAAATAAATTTCTTATTTTGGCATACAAGAAGTTTTGAAAACCACTTCTCTATACCACCTGATACATTGCCTTCAACATAATAGACAAAAGAAAAATGTTAGTTAAGTTGAATTATGGTCAGTAATATACATTTGTAAAATGACATTTTAAAATGGTAATTAAGAAAAACACACTATTTAACTAAATTTTTTCCATGCAAAGCCAGCAGCAAAAGTTTGATACCAGTAGATAAAGCTAGAAAGTTAGATGGTAGTCATATAATAGTAACTCTGAACTAATAATTTTGAACTATTCTGTGGGAAATAGGAGTCAAAAAAGGCTTTTAAGCTTACTCAGTTAGGTACAAGATTTTTCTGACACAGAAGGAACAATAAATTATCCCTCTGACCACAGTATACCTGTGTTGGCTTCTAATTAGCCAAGAATCAAGATCCTCATTCTGTGTTTGAAACAAAGTATAATATCTTTCTTCTCCATAAAAAGCCTTTTTCACCAATGCTTGACCTACCTTTCTCTCTTCCCATTTGGTCTGTAACTTCTCCATTGCTACCTCTGCACCCTCCAGAGGAGGTCTGTGGGCCTGCCTTGCCCCAGTTCCCTTATCTATAGTATTAATTTTCCCTGAACTTTTCAAAGAACTTCCTGGATTAATCAAAATAACTGCCTCTCTAAATTTGACACATGACAGTAGAGTGTATTTTGACAAAAAGAAAAACCATCAACAAGTATGCTCCATGTTTTTCACCACAATTATTTATTTAATGCCCATATGTTTCCCTTCTCTTAATATGCTTTTAACCTGTATAACCTAATGTAAATATTCCTTTCCCTTTTTATGTTGGTGTCATGTTTGATGATAATTGGGTTTTGCCTTTTAAACTTTGAGAGAAGAGCATTAAGTTGAACATGTTCTTTATTTCAGGGCACATAAACACATTTATTCATTTATTTTTCATTCACTCTTTTGTTTATATCTCCTACTCCCATCCCACTCCCTCTACCTGGGCCACCTCTCAAATGCCTTTATGTGCATATCTTTTGTCTTTTTATTTGCAATATATGTATTGTTTAGTATGGATCTATGTTTAATTTATTTAAATAATGGCATATTTTATATATCATTCCATTTTAATTTTTTCATTAAGCATTATATGGATTTTTTTTACTTTCTATTTTGAAATGTATGATAATATACAAGGTAGAATAGCATAACCCCCATATGTCCATTAGCCAATGTCTGTTATCAAATTGTGCAGCAAATTTTGTTCTATCTCTGCCTACCCTCTTCCCCTCTTCTTTGGAACAAATCATTTCATCCAGGTATATTTCAATATGTACAATATATTTTAAAAATACAAGGATCCTTTTAGCATAAATATAGTGCCATTATCTTACCTAAAAACTTTTTAATAATAATTGGCTAATACCAAATCAGTATTTAAATTTCCTATTATCTCATAAGTTCTGTTAACAGTTTGAGTCAAGATCTAGAGTAGGTCCACATATTGCATTTGGTTCAAATGCCTTAAAATCTAAGGATTTCCTTTCCATTTCTCTCTCTCTCTTTTTTTCATTATAACTTATTTGTTGAGGAGCTAGCTTTTTCACCCCCCCAGTCTGGATTTTGTTGCTTGTCTCCTTGTGTAGTTTAACATGTTCCTCTGTCCTTTGTGTTTCCTGTAAATTGTTAGCCAGACCTATCTTCTGATTCCGGTTTAGTTTTTGATCTTCATGTGGACTGTTAGGAGATGAGGCTCCCTTCTTCCATGAGGAGGTATATGAGTTCTGCATAGTGATATGAGCACTCTATTTTGAAGATAGGTCCCCCCTGCTCTATTTGCATCTAGTTCTTTGTACTCCGTGATGTTAGTCTATCCCCCTATTCCCACTGTGTACCCAGATTGCGTGCAGTTTACTGCAGTGACACCCTCATACTTGTAACACAAGACCTGAGAATTTCCTTGGAAAGTAGACCCTGCAACAGGATTACAAGGTCATAGCGTAATCCAAGCTTAATTTTCCAGGTATTGCCATATTGGTCTCAAAGATGCCTGCTGAACTTGACATTATCCATTGTTCTAATTTTTGCCATTCTAAGATATAAACTAATATATCCCTTGTTTAATTTGCATTTTGTGACCATTAACAGGTTTCAAACTCTCTGTGTTTGTTTCATGTT